GTTTTCTTCTAGACATTGCCGTGGTGATTGTCAATTATCTTGGTCCTGGTGGGAGTGTCATTTAGTGTGGAAAGTACATTATAATGAAGTCAAGAGGTTCTTTTGAGGTCAAGTGAGTTGCCATCTTGGATCCCACCAATTTCAGCTGGTCTGGTCACAAGGGGGAACTCCTGACTGCCCATAAACTGTTCCTTAAAGATACGCAGAGTTAAAACAGGGTGGAAGTTCAGCTATGGTACAGAGCATTACACTGGATAAAACCCTCCCTTTTCTTCTTACATTCACTCCTCATTCTTGGTGGTGAAGGATGAAGGTCTGTCTTCTATAGCTCCTTCAAGAGGACTCTGGGTGTTGGTATGGGGCCTGTCAGAGGAAACTTTTCCCCAGCTTGCCTTGGGTGGGTTTGATTTTCTCTGGGTGTAAGCCTCGTTGTTCATACGCTGAGTGACTATCATTTGTAGTTTTATGGCCTCAATTCATTTAGACACAGAAGAGACCAGACAGTTTAGGATACAGAGCTTGAAAATCAGAGGAAGCAGGATGGCAGCTAAAGGATCCAGGAAGGGTAGAAACCAGCGGAGGCTGGCATAGCCTGTCTTAGAATTTCCATATTTTATGGTACAGGATATGCATTAGGCCCTTGGGGAGTAGGTTATAGATGTGGATAACAAACCCAGCAATTAGGGAGGCTTTGTCCCCTGGCTATAGTAATGGATATGTTAAGAAGGCTATTTTTGTCCCATAAATATGATATTTCTCCTCCTATTCTAACCAAAGTAATGGGAAAAGCAGGGTGAGAGGAGTCATTTGATAGATGTACCACTCTGTTATAGTGAAAGATACTTGAAAAGCATCCCCTGAAGCCCAAGGTGTTCTTTATTTTAAAAAGTAACTGTTCATTAGTTTCTTTAGAGTGGAAAGATAGTGCAGAGGACAAACTAGGTTGAGTACTCAAGGGAGAATAGAGGGGAGCAGGAGTTACATCAGTCTTACAGACAGTCTGAGTCTTTTGTTTTAGGTACATTTTATCTCTAATTCTTCACTAGCCTTTGCAATGAATCTTTCAGTGAAACTCTTAGTGAATTTTAAAACCTTTGGAGGCTTCTACATGCCAATTAAAATGAGTATCCCATTCTGTGTTTAAACTCTTTGCAAGAAAAACAAAACTTTAAAGATGTATTAAAACAGTATTATTTATCTCAAAAGAACTGTTTGGAGTCCGTTGTTAATGATACAGCCCATAGTGTTGCAATTTCAGAGACCATGAATTTGGATAAGAATCCAAAGTCAGTTTGAAAGAGACTTTTGTGAATTCTGAACTTAACTCTTCAAAAGCTCATAGAATCAGGATCAAACTGTTTCTAAAAGGCCATGAATAAAAGAAGAGGTTTCCCGTTTTGCAAAAGTTTGGGAAATGCAGTTAAGGGCATTTTCTTCCCATGACAGACACAGAAGCAAGAAACAGTAAGAAAGGTATCCAGGGCAGCCCAGGCACCTTGGGAAAGCTGTCTCACGCAATGTTATTGGCTTCAATCCTGAGAAATTTTTATTGTTGGGTCACCAGATGGTATGAAAGCCCAGGCAGGGTTTAATGCTTTCTTTAGATGTGTCATGCAAACCCCAAGAGTCTATTCCCTGGAGTTTGGTGCATAAGGGTTAGATAGCAGTTTCTGATGAAGACCTTTGCAGTGAGGTTGAAGAGTCTTTCTAGAGGCGTCTTTTCCAATAGACGAAATCTGTGGGTCAGCTGCAATGCCTAAGGCCATCATCTCCTGGCCATGTGCTGTAAAAACACTGCTCAACCAAAGCAGAGTTATTCTTTAATAGAAGCAATTAGTATTAATATTCACAATATTAATGTATCTCCTTTTATCAGCTGTAAGTCAAAGGAGGCAGAGGCCAAGTGCACTGGAGTGTCTTAAAGGGTGAGTGTCTACTAGTTCCAAAGGGGTGGATCAATCTGAGATTTAGGACAAATGGTGATGCTTTTGGCCAAGGTATTTGGAGGTTCTCTTCAAATTTTCCAGCAAAGTCTTAATAGTGCTATGAATGCATTGGACTAACCCTGAGGATTGAGGATGTTATACATGATGAAAGTGAAAGTCAGCCAGACAGCACAGACCAGTTAAAGTACCTGACCAGTAAATAGATTTTCCAGTCACAGTGAAGTTTGAGAGGTGTTCCACAGGCAGAAATAATCTTTTCTGACAGAAATTTTAGCCACAGAAGCAGTACTGGCCTATCTGTGGAAAGCTTTAGTCCAGTGAGAAAATATACAAACCAGGACTCAGCCATTTTTTATCCATGAGAAGGGGAAGCTGTATGAAATTCCTGTGCTAAACCTTAAATGGCCCGCTGGGGCCCATAATGATGGTGGGACAAGTGACATAGGCACTTCTTTGCAGCCTTATTAATATTTTCCCATCAGTATTGGCTCATAAGCATTCATTTTGTCAGTAGACCAATTGTTTAAAGCATGTACAGTGGTAAGTAGAGGGAATTTTAGAATTTTCTGGTAGGGCCAGATTGTTATTTGGTCCAAACCAGAGTTCTCTCTTTTTATTGAGCCAACAATTATTAGATTTCCAATATTATTATTTTTTCTCTCTGGGGCCATTTGTTGAGTATTATGTCAATATTTCCAAATTATCATTTAGAACATCCCTTTGGACACTGACAGAGGTTTGGCTATTGGCTTCTTTAAGAGCAGCATCTTTAGAGGAAATATCAGCAAGGTGGTTTCCTTTCACCTCTAGGGAGTTAAATCTGGAATGCCCAGGAATCTAAGTAGTAGCCAAAACCACCAGCAAAAGTATGGCATCTAATAAATTTTGGAACATAGGAGCCATTTTTAATTTTATTCCCATTGGAGGTTAAGAAAGCTCATTGTTTCTATAATATTCTAACAAAAGCCCATAAAGGCATGCCAACTATCAATATAAATGTTTGTGGTTTTACCCTTGGCTTCAGGTACAAGCATAAGTAGGGGTATATAATTCAGCTTATTGGGCCAAACTAGCTAAAGGTAGAGGTTCCGCCTCAATGACTTCAAAGGAGTACCAATTGCATACCCAGCACAATATTTACCACTTTCATCCTTTAAAAAGAACCATCAGTAAACCATGAAAAATCTGCTTTGGTTAGAGGAGTTTCCTGTAAATTGTCACAGGGAGTCAAAAGGTGTCAGCATGATGCAGTTGTGACGGGTTTCATCAGAATCCAGATATAATCTTATTTTGAGATCAGATGCCCTAAGTATTGAACCTCAGTCTGAGCAAACTGCAATTTTTCTTTGGACATTTTATGACCCTTTAAGGCCAAAAGTTTCCATAGGTGGTTGCTGTCTTCCTATGAAAAGATTTGAGAAGGAGGGCAGAAAAATAGATCATCTACATATTGTAGCAAAGTAGAACCTGCACAAAACTTTCTATCATCCAAATCAGTGTTTAAGGTTTGTGAAAGTACGGAGTAACCCTGGGGCATTGCTGTCCAGCTGTATTTCCATTCTTCCCAAGTGGAAGCAGAAAGATATTAGCTATCCTTATCAACTCTGATATTACAAATGCACTGCATAGAGTAATGACAGTGAAAGGCTTGCTTTCAGTGGGAATGGATACTAGGCACTTAGTGGGGAGGAACAACAGGGTGCTCAGTGGGATCTGTGGATACTGGCACCTGATTGCTCTCCAGCTTCCACAGGGGTCGTATGTTCACAGGCGCCATGCTTGTGTTTCTCATTGTCCTCAAATGTGGCAGGAGGTTTAGTTTGGATCTGGGTGTGACCACCAAATCTGTTTTAAAAATCCAACTAAGTAAATTTGGAAGATCTTATTGGCTTTATTAGGTGATTTATGAATGGAGCAGCATCCCGTCTAGCAAGCTGAGAAATGCTCTGAAGAGCTGTACAAAATGGAAGGCTTTTATACTCAAGAGTGTGGGACAAAAAGTTATTAACAAAAGAAGAAATTAGGGATTGTTTCAAGTAAGGTCACCCTCAAGGAGGAGCAGGGGGTCTAATTGCAGATGACCTCAGCAGAAAGTTTCAAACTGATTAGTTTAATACCACTCCTGGGAGAGGCTGAGTTGCATGGGGGTCAGGCATTAATCCCCAGTTTGGTGACTTGGCCTTGGAGAAGTGACCCCAAGTCGGGCTGTGGTTTTCTTTTTAACACCCTCTTACACAGAAAATGTCTAACCCACAGGAAATCCTACTGGGAGGCAGGTTCTGATGTCTTATAACAGAAATGTTAGTTTGACTTTACCTGGAAGGACCAGAACAGTTTTGTGCTGGGTAAATGTTTACTGAGCCAAGTGGCAGAGATGCCCTGAAGTGTGTGGCACTATCAGTGAGGATTCTAACTGGTGGTTCTACAGTGAAGTGAAGGCAACAAACGTTGGCAAAAGTTAACCCCACCTGGGGCAAAGGGCATGGACGCGGTGGGACTGCAGTAGGTGAACGATGCGTGCCCAGAACTAACAGTGCAAACCCTGTAAGCATGCCACATGAACAGTGCCTGTGAAGCAAGGACTTCTCCCTCCCTGCCGCTCTCTTGGCTGTGGGAGCGGCTGCTCTTCCTGTGGGGGATGCTGGGCAGACCTCTGCAAGGGCATGCGGGGAGCAATCTGGGCTCAGTCCCCGCCTCTGCATACCATGCATGTCCCTGGCTCCAGTCCCATTCCAGCATTTCTCCTGGATCTTTGAAGCATGCCGATTGTACCCCGTGGCGCTGCGGTTACCGCTTCAAGTACGAGTTTGCTTGCCGCAGCGGCCGCCACCACCGCAGCCAACACCGGCTCCGCAGGGAACGAATTTGCGGCAAACACTCTCGGTTCTTGCCTTGGAGAAAGGTAAAAGTTGCTTCTGCCTCTGTTTTGGGAACTCGAATGCGAAATGTGGCGGGCGAACCAGCCTGGACTGTTGTGGGAACGGAGTCAGCAGGCACGAGGTCCGGGAAGCAGAGGCCTGCGAATAGACAGCCCGAGGACAGGCGCTGCGGGTGATGCGGCTCAGTGGGTGCCTCAAGCCGAGCACCTTGGTCTCTGTGGGCCCCCAGGCATCCCTCGCAGCTCCCCACCCCCCGGCACCCAGCTACACCTTGCACAATAGCATCTAACCCTTGCCGGCAGTGAGGGACGGATATCAGAGATGACAGTTTTTAATCTGGAAAGAGAGAAAGTAACCAGGGTTTATTTGGGGTGGAGAGGCTTGGTAACATCCTTGGGATGTATTGTTTCAAGGTATTAAAAAACAAAATTCATCTGAGAAAATTTGAAGATCTAATTGGCTTAAATGACTCATGAATCAGGCAGCATTCCTTCTAGCAAATAGATGCAGATGCTCCGAGGAATTGCCCAAAATGGAAGGTTTTATAGACGGGAGGGTGGGGGGAAAAGTTATTAGCAAAAGAAAAGAAGGAGTTGTTTCAGGCAAGGGCACTTTCTCTTAGGGGGCAGAGGGTCTTATGATGTAGATTACCTTGTCTTCTTATAGGGAACCCGGAGAGGGCTCCTGTGACAGATTTTCTTATCCATGATGCTGACCAGAAAATTCCTGACTGACTACATTTCTGGGGGAGGCTGAAACTGTAATTAAGCTTAGGTATTAAGCCCCACTTTGGTGACTTGGCCTAGCAAAAGGGACACCTTTTGGGGTCTGTGTGCCTCTTTTTAACAAAGGGTTGGCAAGTTGTCCGTTATTGCAGCTTCTCATCCATTCTGTACCTAAAGAGTGGAGAAGTGTGGTGTGGAAGAACGTGGGTATGTAGCCAAGGGGAAAGGGCAAGTAAGGTGCTGAGTGACCCTCCCTCCCACCCTGCCTGCGCTGCCTTTCCTGGGTGCCTGTGGGGGGCAGTGCGCCTGGCTTTGTCTCAGAGGAGGGTGTGGTGGAGTTAGGGAGTGAGCTGAGACCCACCCCTGTGTCCCCAAGCTGCAGCTGTCTGGGCAGACGCTCTGGGCAACGTTCTAGGTTAGAGACCCATTTCTCCCATTCTCCTCCCTAGGTTTCTCTTACTGCTGGATAAGTACCAGCGTCTCTCTGTCAATTTCTGACAACGGGCAATTCCTGCTTTGGCTTCAAAGAATGGCTGATCCAGCCGCTGAGACCTCTGCCCACCCTGTTCATCATCCATGCTTTCATGCCCTGGCCAAGGAGCAACGATTACAGCGTGGTAGTGCTCGGCTCCGCGGCGGTGGGCAGGCTCATGCAGAAGTGGGTGCGCGGCAAGCCTGGTGAGGCGTATCTGCCGACTGTGGAAGACGTACCGCCAGGCACCGGGCTGCAACCATGGCGTGGGCGCGCTGCACACCACCACCAGCGGCCCCTGCCAGCCAGGCCTGCAGCATGTCACCTTTGCCAGGGCCTCGCCTTCAGACTGGTCTACTCAGTCTTCAAGAAACAAACCCTGGCGGAGTCGAAGTCCTTCTGTGAACTGATCTGCGTGCGATATCAAAGGCAACGACCTGCAGAAGTGCCCCATCATGCTGGTGGGTAACAAATGCGGTGAGAGCAGCTGTGAGCTGACCGTATGGGATGACACTGCCTCTGACTTGGAGTGGAATTGTGCCAGCGTGGAGACCTCCACCAAGATGAATAACAAGGTGCAGGAGCTGTTTCACATGCTGCTGAACCATGAGAAGCCCGCCACCTGCCTCCAGCCTCCCCAAAAGAAATCTCAGATGCTCAAGACCACTGATCAGCTTCTTGGCATCACGTGAGTCCTGGGCCTTAGGAGCCCAACTTTCTCCTATATTATGCAGAAAACGTGGGCCAGTGCCAGTGTAATGTGTCACCTGTACTGTGAATGGCTTTTGTGCTGTGGTTTGGGTTCTAACAATTAGATGTCAGTAAATGTCCCTTGTAAATTAAGTTTTCTTCTTACTAGGCAAGGGAATTCAAATTGTTAATACATTGATACTGGGGGAGAGGAAAAGAGGAAAGGATGTGTTGAAAGAGTAAGACTTGGACAGACTTTAGAGACTGATATCTGAAAAAGAGAAATGCCAAAAGGAATTGAAAGATGCCACTGCCTTTCTTGTAACCCTGTTATTGTTATATGTCTAATCACATCTTTCCATTGTGTATTTAATTGTTAGGAAATGTGTTCTTGCAACATAAATGTGGACAGATGACTGTAGGACAGGTGTACTAAAAGAGATGAATAAATGAATGTTCTATAGCTGAGCATTGAAGGCAGGAGTAGAGAAATTTGTGAAAGTGGAGCTTGCTTACTAAAGATGTACCAGTTGTTTCCTAAATCAGTTAAAAATGTTTAAGTATTTCACATAGCAGTCTTAAAAAACTTATTAACA